GAGCACATATAATAAAATCATCAACACCAAGTGGTCAAAGACCCTGCTGTGTATCGTTGTTCTACTGTTCAAAGACACAATGAGGAGTAGAGTTAGACTGACTGACGAGGACGAATAAACCACACTTAACGCAGTTAAAGCTGCTTGGTAGCTGAGGTCTGAAATGTGACTCCAGTCATGAGGTTTCCTTTAACTACGATGGGAACTAACGGCCCTTGGGTCCATGTTAATCCCACACCTTCTCAGAGGGCTTGAAATGTATCCAACCATGCTGGTCAGAGCAGAATCACAACCTCCTTATTGTTTCATTTCTCTTTCCGATGAGATCAAACACAGAAAATGTAGATTGATCCAACTGGCTTGTTTCAGGGGAAAGACAGAACGGAGTACTTGAAAAGCACAAATAAACCGAATGCCATGATTCTTTCAGGCTGTTCACTGAGAGAAATGAAACCCAACAGTGTCTGTTGGGTTGTGTCTAAAAGTATTCTGTCACCCGATCTGTGCACGTGGCTTTGTTACAAAGAGCTGGAAGTAAAGCCAGCATCATGCTCATCACCTCAAGATGTGGACTGTTTTGTATCTAGGACATGGCACAAACATGCAAAACCTCAAAGTTTCATCCAAAATTACACACCGAGGTAAATGAAAAGTTGGGAAATGGTTGTGGTCGTGCATGTGAACTTACATTATTTCAATGCAAAAACTGAGAATTAAAAAAAACTGGAAATATTGAGTTAACAAATAATAGCTGTCTTAGGAGAGAATTACTTGCAGCAAGAACATATTTATGCTCCTTTGCTTTCACCGAGAACAGTCCAGTGAGCTCACACACCTAATTTTACTTTCACACAATCTAATCATAATGCACTTCACGCTTACTGACTCGTACAGAAACAAATTTCTTTTTAAAGAGGACATTTAGCCGAAAACAAAGGTGTTTCATAAAAAAGCCGGTGATCCTTCATTGCGTTCAAATTTCAAAATAAGCCATTGGAGTGAATTGAGACTGATTCAGCATGAATAAAAATGGAACGTCTTAAAGAACAATCCCAACTCCAGTTATGCTGAACTGAATTACAGAAGTTTGACCAAACAGCTGCAGGGACAGATGAATCCAGTTATGTTTGATGTATCGCCTGGTGGGCAAAGTCTAGGGGCAAATCTGCATTTTACTTTTTTTGTCACTCCGCTGTGAGAACCAGCTGCTGCTTGTGGCTCCTAAGGCTAGGTTAAAGTTAAGAGGGGACAGGGCATTCTCTGATGCGGGTCCCAAACTGTGGAACGCACAGCCCCTAACTATTAGGGACTCTCCATCAGTAGCAGTTTTTAAAATGAGGCTGAAAACCTACTTTTATGATCTGGCTTTTAATTGTTAATGTTTTATATTTTGTAATTCTTATTTGCGGTTTTAATTATGTCTGTAGCGTTATATGTTTTATTGTTTTACTCTTTTGTTGTACAGCACCTTGGTGGCATGCTCAGGACTGTAAGGTGCTTTATAAATAAAGGCTGAGTTGAGTTGAGTTTACTTTTTTTTATTTAATCAGCAACTTTCTAAAGCAAAACGTCACATTAGTAATCAAACATAAACAATAAGTCCCCAACCCCATTAATCCACACCAATCCCCGTTAACTGAACTAGGTATACCTTTGATTTGTTTTGTTTTCCCCCACCCATTTAATTATATGCAAATGTGTTTGTTAAAAAGACGATGCCTAGAGCATTGTGACGCTGTTTTTGGCATGCTCATTTGAAGAATACCAGTTATGTTTTCTTTCACTTTAAATGGACTGCGTTACAACTCAGCAAGATATCTTTGGACCCGCCACTTCCCAGAACTGGGTACTTAAAGTGGAAACCAGTGGGCAGAGTTACAAAACATGAGTGGCAGGTGCTTGTTACCCAAAGAACAGAAGTACCCTCAATGGACAAATGTCCCCACTCATGGACGGACTGTCCACACGCATCAGTTTGGACCAACAAAAACTCTCATTCTGAGACTTTTATCATTTAAATGACCTAAATCTGAACATCTGTTGGTGTGCATGTGGTTGTTTTTCTCTTCATAAGATATATAATTTGGATTTAGCTGTATATTCTCATTTTAAAGACTGTTTGACAACAACCTCATTTAAAATGAACATTGCTAATCAACCTTGGTGAACACAAAAATAGACATTACATCATCGAATTTACAGATGGCAAGCTAACGTTTTCTGTGATAGTAGCCATGCGTCATAGAAGTGCTAGCAGATTGCCATTAAGTCTCTCCTTGCTAAAGTCAATATGTCTGTTAGCAGAAGATCTCAAGAACCTCTTCATGGATTTTGATTTTAAAACAAAAAGTTTGAGAACATCTCCAATAACTGTGCATCTGCAATGGATGAACATTTGGAGTCAGTCTGATTTAAGGACACCTTAGTCCAACACATACAATGGCTATGTTTCAGAATTTCTTATTAATTCACTGAATGACATTTTGGTGTGGTAGTAGATGAAATTCACTCAAAACGCATAAATCAGACAAAATTGAGCAACATATTGCAACACTGCATAAGATCATGCATGATGCTGTTTTCAAAATTTGACCAGAATTGGTAAAATTCTTAGCCTGACAAGCCGTCCTTAATCTGTGAATATACTGTACTAGCCACGCCCCATAGAACGAGCTGTCATGGGGCGGGATCTTTGGTTGTCTTTCAAAGGGCCTCTGCATGCTATTGGAGTACAAATAAAGTGGCATACTCACTGCTACAGATGTCATTCAATGGGGCAGTGCACCATGCACTGTCCCAAAAAAATCACAGATATTTTATATAAATAAATATTTTTTTAGCGAGAGGTTGAGAGTAACGTAATTTCATTTCTCTGTATGTCCTGTACATGTGGCAGAATTGACAACAAAACTGACTCTGATCTTTGATCTTTATCTAAATAAACTTAAGTACCTCTATCTGCTATTGACTTAAAGAAAAGCCCAAGTCTAAATAGTCCAAAGTTGATGCCAAAGCCATTTCAAATGAGCTGTCACCATTTGAGTTTCGCTCAGCAGTAACATCCTGCCCACCAAACCCATAGAGCACTGTGATTGGCCCACCAAACCAATAAAGCACTGTGATTGGCCCACCAAACCCATAGAGCACTGTGATTGGCCCACCAAACCCATAGAGCACTGTGATTGGCCCACCAAACCAATAAAGCACTGTGATTGGCCCACCAAACCAATAAAGCACTGTGATTGGCCCACCAAACCCATAGAGCACTGTGATTGGCCCACCAAACCCATAGAGCACTGTGATTGGCCCACCAAGTCAATATGAGCAGTGTGATTGGCCCATCAAACCAAAAAGAACACTGTGATTAGCAAGCCACAATACTGGTCTAGGCTGCTAAGGTTCTAGTGGAGCGGGCCGACATGCGGATCAAAATCATTTTGCTTCTGCTACTGTCCATCTAGATTTATAGCCTGGCCTGCCAGACTCGTCTTCTGTTTAATCCTGCACAGAGACTGAGTCTGGTAACTCTCGGCAAAGAACGCCATGAGAGGTGGGACTAGCCAGCTCAAGAATAACCAATCAGAAAAAAAGACGGAAATCCCGACTGTACCGCACAACGCTGTAGTTTTCTAGTTGTAGTAAAAAAAAGGCGTCTGGCAACGGCGAAAATATCTTTTTTTATAGAAGAAATGCTTTTAGTGCTTCTACTTGTGGTTTTAAAGACATTTGAGTCATTTAGAACAGAGGAGTTGTTTATGAGAAACGGAGCGTCGATGTGTGTGACGTCCGCGACGCTGTAGTTTTTTTTTTAGCTGTAGTAAAACTGGAGTCTGGCGACAGCGCAAACATCTTTCTTTCGAAGAAAGGCTATTAACGCTTCTACTTGTTGTGTCCAAGTCATTTAGAACAGAGAAAAGAGCCGCAGCGAACACCGCTTCAGTCATCATGTTCGACAAACTCAGTGTTGTGGTGTGTGACGTACACTACTCAGCGCTGATTGGCTCGGTTAGAATTCTCACGGGGTGGGGTTATTTGAATAGGAGAGTTCCCAGACCCTTTCACTGTGCAGAATTAAACAGAGGAGGAGTCTGGCAGGCCAGGCTAGTAGATTTAGGCTATAAAATAATATCGTTTCTCAACAAAACTCTTGCAGGAAAGGTAGTGATGAATTCCTTGGAGGAATACTAGCCAAGCCACTACTAAAGCCCGCTACTAGGCCTTTAATTACTTTCAACAGTTTCTAGAGGTGCTTCCTCAAAAGCAGCAATTTTCAACAAAATTGCAAAGACTCCAGTTTTTATGCAAATGAAAGCTTCAACTTGACAGCTAATCTCCAGAAGTGAAATCAGGTGCTTTGGAGTGTATTGAGTCAATTATCATAAATGCTGGTAAAAGGACATGGGTGTGATAAATCACATTAATGTCTAACACCATCAAGACTTTCTCACAACTCAGATCACATTTTACATGTTTGTAAAAAGTGTTTTCACTGAGACTTTAAACTACTTTAAATCACAATCACACTATCTACATCCTGTTCTTGATGATAATGATGATGTATGAAATCCACCACTGGATAAAATCCTCTACTAATAGCAGCTCAAATTACATCTGCATGTTTAAGATGAGTAAAGTTACAAATAATTGGGAGGGTATCACTTCCAGACCACTGAACCAGCAGCTTCTAGAAATGTCAACTTCATCTATCAGCCCAGATCGAGAGGACAGAAACGTCATGGAGGAATCTGTAGCAAAAATATTGACGCTCAGAACAGCTGTTCGCTGCAAACACACAATACACACACCGATTATCCAGTTAGAGCAAAGAAAAGTGGGATTTTTTTTTTCATGAAATCAAACCGAAAAAGTTCAGAGAAACTCGTAGAAGAAAAACATCTTCTCGGCGTTCAGATTTCCCCTCTTCCCACAGCGCTGATGCGCGTCCGCGTCATTAATAACATTCATTTCAGCGCGTTTCTTTCTTTCCCCCCAAAACTCACCAGCAGTTCTTGAGCCTGACCCCGAACCAAGCAGAAGGTACCAGATCCACATCCTACGTTCCTCCTGTCCTCCTCTCGGCCTACTCTCGTTGTCCTGCCCCGCTACGGGGCCAAAACTAGGGGCGAAAAGCAAAAAACAAACTTCCCCGATCAAGGCAGCAACTCTAAAGTTACACTTTTTTAATCTTCGGCTAAATTACAAGTGTGCCTGGTTGGATAGGCGTGGGACCGCGTTGGTATCGCTGTAGTCCGGATTGTGGAGGGGGAGAAGGCGCAGAAGCTGGAGCCGAGGGGGCTTCGGGGTGGCGGGCAGGCAGGCGGAGAGAGCGCTGGTGCTGAGAGGAAGGCGGAGCCGGAGGGAGAGCACCGGGGAGCAGAGGTCGGCCACTCCAGGTCAGCGCTCCCAAAGCCTCAAACGGTCCCCAGATACATGCATGACACAGTAACTCCAAATGTTCAGGTTGTTTGTTTGGGATAAAACAGATGAGATTATATTAATCACATGAAACATCCGTTTATGAGAGCAGCCCTTTATGCAGAGTAGGTGTTTTTGTTTGTTTGTTTTAAAGACATTTGTAAGTAATCAGAACTAGTGAGCAAAAATATTATTGCAGTAAATATTATAACATATTTAAAATGAGCAAAAAAAGGAGACATTTCTTCAAAAACATCATTTTTGTGAAGCAGGTGGGGAAAGCCCCGCCCCCTTTTTTATAAATCTCCAGGTAATACCTCACAGTAGAAAGACCTAAATAGCTATTAGGTTTAAACAGATAACACAAAAGGGGACTTTAGGGATAAAAATGCATTTTTACACTTTTCTAAAATTTCTAAATATGTTTTAATTGAACTGATGGTCATTGACTGTCCAAACTTTTATTTATTTTTTTAAACTTTTTTTCTGCCTGTATTTGTGTGTGATATAGTGCCTTCTATCTCCGGCTAAGCGGAAGAAAATGAATGAATGGATGGATAGCACCTTTTAGAGCCCTGAAGCCCCCCAAGGGGCTTTACAACACAGTCATTCACCCATTCACAACCTGGTAGTGACGAGCTACATTGTGGCCACAGCTGCCCTGGGGCACACTGACAGAGGCGAGTCTGCTATACACAGACGCCACCGGTCCCTCTGAACACCACCAGCAGGCAAGATGGGTTAAGTGTATTGCGCAAGGACACAAAGACAGCGACAGACTTGGCGGGGCTCAAACCTGCAACCCCCCGATTACTGGGCCAGCACTTAACTCCTGTGCCACCGTCGCCCCCAGTAGACAAACTTATTACTCCCAAAAAAGACGTAAATTTATACATCAAAACATGGTCATGCGTGTCTTACTTTACCCACAATGTCTCTCATTTCTACGGGACTTTGGGTTTTCTTCCAAAGTCCCCTCCGGGTGAGTGCCAATAACTATGTTTTAGTTTTTTTCAGTTTTTCTCTTCAAAACTGAAAGTGAAAGTTGCTTCAACGTCTACATAAAACATGACAGACCTGTTAAAGTTCACATGTGATTATCTAATCAAGATTTATTTTTTCAATGCAACATAGTTTTCACAGGATAACTGTTTGAGCCTTATGTATCCACTAGCAATTAGCTGTCATAATTTAATATAATAATTCCTAAATTGATGGAATTATAGGCATCAGCTTCACTGGCAATCCACAAAGATTTATTAGGAAGCTTTTCTAGTGGCACAGGTAGCTATGATCCACGTTAGGTACCAGCTTTTCCAGATGTGGTTCGCTGGTTGAATAAATATATGCAGTGGTCTTTAGTAGGAATATGTTGTAAGTCGTACTCGGGGTAAACGCTCAGATGCGCCTGTTTCAATAAGTACAAGTCAACTGGCGGAGAAAGTAGCTTCAGATGGCAGCATTGGAAGTCTTAAGCTTGGTTTATGCTTGACGCGTTCACTTTCCGCGTGGTGATGCGGCTCGCGGATGGAACGCGCTTCACAACTCGCAGCGTTTATGGTTCGTGCGGCTTGTCTTTGCGGTGAGCTAATATTCTCCCAAACTGTAGGGGGCAGCATGGAGCTCTACGGCATGCATCCAACACTACACCTTAGTAGAAGTAGAAATTACTGTTTACAACATGGCATTTCAGCATTTTTAACAGCATTCTCGTCTTTTCCGACAGTGCGAGCTATTTCCCTCCAAGAATTATTAACAACATGTTGATCACGGTGATCTCTGAGAGCTGAATCATACAAATGTCTGTATATACGAACCTCTGCCGTACTAGTTCTTGCCGGTCCGCCATGTTTTTCCGCGTCCGTCCGTCCGCGTGGTTAGAAATTTTCCGAGGTGCGCGTTGCGGAAATTCTGGGCCGTGCGGAGACGTGGTGGAGGGGTGTGGTTGTTAAAATGACGCAAAATGACGCAACTTTTCCGCTCGGAGCCGTGCGGCCCTCGCGGACGCGTCAAGCATAAACCAACCTTTATTTCATGCTATTTGGACATCTCACCTCAAATTGGACAACAGCGACACAACTCTACCACTGACTCTGTTTGCTTTGCACCATTGATGTTTTATCTCCATGAATAACACAAGTCTGGAGACTTCTGCTGTGTGGTGGATTTGCTACTGCCTAGAGTTAGCACCTACTAGCTGAGACGTTCTCTGCTGTTTCCTGGACGCTAAAACAACAGCCTTCCCAGTCGCGAGTCAAGATGAGTGAGTCCATGAATGTTAGGTGAAAGTGTGATGTAGATCTGTCAGGATTTTCAAATCCTAGAGTTTCACCGTCTATTTTCTATCAGAAACTAATGCAGCAGATAGGTGTAGGAGACTATTTTCATGTTCAGCCTGCATGAAAAAAATCAGAAATGATCATTAAAAATGTTTTTCAGTGATCCACACCTTTAACATAATGCTCAGAATATTTTCACCAATGCTTTACCAGCAGATGATTACGCTCAGTGAACATTAAAGCACCACGAAAATAAGATGTTATGGTGACACGGAAGCTGGGAACAAACCAAAAAAACTGGTGTCTCTTTACAAACGTGGCTCTTCCTTTTGTACAGCAATGATTTGAATGTTTTAAAGACCTGTGCTGTTTGGTATGTGAGCACAGATGAAAGGCTGGGTGTGATATGTAAACCAGTTCCACAACAAAAACACAGATAGAAGGCAGGAAGTAAAAGAGAGAAAGTACACAAACCTTTAATGACTTCATTTGCATGTAAATGAAGTTGGATTTGGTCAGAGAGAGGAGGGAAGGAAGGACAGAGGAGGCTTCCCTGATGAAATCTTTCTCTTTATCATAGAAATGCAGCTGTGTGCAGGTACACAGCCTAGCTTCAAACAAACCCAGCCCTTTGACAGAATGCTAACCTGAGGGCATATGATTGGGATGACTCCCAAAATCAGGCTCCTCCAGCATACTTTAAATTCATTCTCACTGTGTTATCAAGCCAAAGCTTCACACAGGCTCAAAGTCCAAGGAAAGGGGCCATTTCTTCTTAGTTAAATCTGCCGAAACTTTGTCAAAGATCCCAGTTTGATAGCTTCTACATGGGCCTTTTGTCCTCACTACCCCCCATTGCCCCCTCCAGGGCTTCATTCTCTTAAAATGAGGCTTTTTGCTGGATGGAAGGGCAAGCACACGGAGTAACAGCTCTCAAAACGTGTACAGTTGGCAGACATTAATATTTCAGCGATTACCACAGTTAACAAAGGCAGACACAAGTCTGCTCAACACAAATCCTGGATACAATCAGCTCCAATGTAACTAAATGCTTGTTGAGGAGGAGGAAGATTTGTCAGTCAGCGTTAAATGGATTTCCGTCTGCTTCCCTGGAGTTATCATTAATGTTAATACTGAGCTGTCTCACAACTTCTGCAGCCCGACCCACGACCCAGAGCAGAATAACCTGTATTGGGGGGGGGGGGGTCTGCATAAGAAGACTGCAAGCTAAAAGCAAAAATGTGCTCAAATGAATCACTGATTGACTCAAAGTAATGCCCATCAAATGGTTTAGGGGCTATCTATAAACAGCCCAGACCTAATTAGCTACCGGCCAACAAATGGACTCATTAGGGGACATTAAACTCTAATATGAAGGCTGTTCTTGAGTTAATCGCAGAAGAAACCCAATTAGCGTCCAAATTTGGCGAATGACTCAGAGGTACTGCAACAGTCTGATTGGTGAAATAAAAGGGGAGGAGCACGGCAACCTGGGATGAGTTTGCTTGCGGGCGAGTGGCAGGCACCACAGAGAGAAAGATTCCGCCTCAGATTAAACAAGAGGTAAGAGATTGTGCAGCAGCAGCAGCAGCACAAAGGGAGCCTTTCTGAGTGTGCATCTGCTGGAGAGAGACAACATGCAGCAAGAAAAAAAGATTGGGTTAGATAGTTAGAGGCAAGAAGGGCAACAGGAAGTTGATAAAAAAAAGAGTAAAGGAGATGGTGAAAAAAGAAGGTTGAGGATAGAAGAGGGAAAAAAAATCCCCTTAAGTGATTAAACAATGAGCTAAAATGTGCTTAAACACAAATTTCCTCATTATTTTAGAAACCACTTTTAATTATTGAGACTCAAATTCACGCTGTGAGCTAATAAGAAAAGTAAATATATTTTAACTTTGCCAACAAAAGCAGCTGAGTGCCCTGTCACCGAGAGACTTGCTAACAATAAATCAATTCATCTAGTGGGAATGAGCCGAGCAGACGAGTCGAAATTTGGCTCCTGTGAGCTTTAAGATGACATGTCCTTGTCGTTCCAGACAGCTACCGAGGTTGCTGTGAAATGCCAAGGCCCCTGAAGGACTGGCAAAGACAGGTTCATTCTCCCAGCGAGAGCTGCACTCATTGAGCATCTTCAATCACCAGCATAGCAAGGCATGTTTTTGTTTGTGAGTGAGTTTACTGAAAGAAACAACAAGCATGACTTTGCAATGCACTTTATGCATTCAGCTACTTCAATTCCTCCCTCCTTTTTAGGGAGTTTATATGAGATCTAGAACATTCACCTGGAGCTAAGCTGCAGATGCACACACATATGCTTAGTCATTTCAAACATGCACATATACGTTCTAAAATATTTGCAGAGAACATCCCCTCTGCTCAATACTGAGTAATCACCAATTTATGTGATCAATGCCTCCTTCGTTAGCGGCTCTGATGGCTTTACTGCAGCAGAAATGTCAGATAAGCAGCGAGCATTTGAGTCTTGTGTCGTGTGTGTGTGTGTGTGTGTGTGTGTGTGTGTGTGTGTGTGTGTGTGTGTGTTTGCATGCATCTGTCACAGTGTTGGGCTAAAGCAGAGAGTTTGATAAGGAACAGTTATTGATTTGGGAATTCAGAGGCAGGGCGAGGAAGCAACGCCCGAAGCATCAACAGTTACCTGCTTAATTAATCTTGACGAATTGATGCACACACTAGAGAGAAAATAGAAATAATAAAACAA